ATATTAGGTACAGTTTCTATGCGCTCACTCACCCTTTACTGAGGGCTTTATGGTGTTATGAGATCACAAGCTGTTCTGCTAACGAACGCAATATAAAACGCAACGAAATCTGTCGAAATGACGTTTTTATTTTTAATCGCATAACTTTAACCGATTTTATAATTCTTTAAAGCGATTTCTATTATTTTTTTTTAGGGGAAAGGCGGTACGTCAGAGGTGGTCCCATAGTAATTTGGTTTAGATCCGATCATTGGATCATGAAGAAATTAACGGTAGTCTTAAATTTTTATTTAAGCATTTAAGTCGGTTTTGTTTTTTGCTTAAAAATTACTCGTCATTATGTACCAAAAAATGTCGCCATTAGTTGGCCCCTTTCTATTTTCGTATTCGATTCGAAAATAAGGCAAACGGTGCGAAAATGTTGTGTTCGTTTCTGAAGAGGTCATACTTATGTAAGGCAAAAAAGGTATATTCTGTACCCCCTGAAGCTGTGTCCCTGTAGATTGTTGCCCTGAAAATCAAATGGTTACTTAAACTCATGACCTAGACAAGGATAAGTGGCAAAAACATGCACTTCTTACAGGGTTGAGTGTAACATCAAACACATTTAGCACCAAGGAAGACCAAAACTTTTTTAAAGGAAAGGAAATACCATTCGTCCGATGAAGTAAACGAGTCTAACTAAAGTGGGTAGTGAGATTTAATGTGGTGAACTCGCACTAAAACCCAGGTTCTGCTTGCTGGTCCAAAGCAGCCATAGTGAAATCTGAGAAAATCGTAAGAGCTTTATGAATGTGAAAAATATTATTAGCTATAGGTTTAAGTTAGCTTAATTTGGTGATTAGTGAGGCGCGCACTGCTGACTCGTACTTCCACTCGGAGACAGATTTGTCCATTGTGAATGCCCTCTGTGAGTGACAAGAGGAAGCACATCCTTCTAACCGAGGTTAATCCATAATGTCAGTATAAAGTCTCTCAAATCATTTACAATCCCGGATGAAGCCGTGGATGTTCGATATTTTCACCTCCGCTATCTCCCCCAAGCTATTGAAAAAGTGTGATCCCAAATCCTTGAGACGCCTTATCTGGAGAGAACGCGTCTACATAAGAAGTGGTGAATAGATTCGCCTACACCCTCATCCCGACCCTGCAGTCATCAGGCAGTTTGAAGGTCCTTGGAGTACAGACACGAGCCGACTCCTTTTTCCACCTTAGAGCCATGGGTGCAGATGGAAATACCATTATTTACCGACAGGAGGCCACATTCCTAATCGTATCGGGTTGGAAAGGGTATGGAAATCTTAAAACTAAAATCCCAGGAGTAAGTGAGGTAATCAATTTCGACATCTAAGTCGACCTTGATTCCGTTACGCCCACCACTATTAATTACCTTCAAGACCGCTCGTGCCCGTAGTTCATCTGCTCCCACAATTTGTATGCTCTCAGTTTAAGGGCCCCTTTGACGGCTGCACCTGTTACGAATACTTGTCTTGGCTCCAGGTAAAAGATTATCTTCAACCTACTTGTGAATCGGGCTGTAGCTCAATAAAATGGTTCAAAAGTATTGTTATTAAGCCACAGACTAAAAAAAAATCTGTTAATTTCCACAGATATGAAACTATTTTCGACACATAAAAAGCAAAAATTTACTTAAATGTACTTATTCGCATACATATATGTACATATGTACACGTGCATAAATATTCCAGGGAATCGCAAATTGTCTGCGTCAACAAATGAAACGAATCAATCCAAGTACCATATATCTACAAAAAAAAGAAAATTAGCACAGCCTTCCTCATACTCACGCGAACTGCATGTGCCAAATAAAATATATAAACATTTAAGATCATTTGTTTACAAATAAATTTAGCAGATACTCGCGTAGAGTAGCAGAAGTTAGACATATGTATGTATGTGTAGCCATTGAGATATCAAAAAAAAGAGGTTTTGATGTGAAAGATACAGCTGAAGTGGAAAGGTCCAAATGGCAAATTTAGACACTCGATAATTGATTGCTCGAATTTATGGCGAATATATTTTACAAACCCTTTTGATTACGCTGATAATTTGCGCGTTACTATTTGATATTAATTTTTAAATAATATATTTTTTTTATATATATGCCATACATCAATTTATATTTTTGTTCATAGAATTGCTTTTTTGATTGATTATCTGAAGGAGAACGAGAGGCCAAGTTTAGAATTGAAATAGATATATATATAGATTTGTTATTGATTTATTGGGAACTATATTGGAGGACTCTTGCTCTACCGGCAATGGGCTGAGATTTATTTAGGGTGCAGGCAGGCGTATTTAGTCAATGGCAAAGATGCCACCACTCAAGCAGAGCCGCTGTTGTCCAATGAAAATGAAATAATCTTTTAAACAAATATCAAATTGTATTTTGTTATCCAAGTTTTTCAAACGACATCCTGATGCGGTTAGTAATCAGCTCTCCAGGTCTCTAAACGGATCTTTATTGAGCTACCAGTTCAAGATAAGCTGGCAAATTTCCAAAGGCATTACAGTCTCTGGACAACCCTGCATTGCCCATTTAATGGCATATTTCTTTTTGGCTAGCACTTAGCGAGTCGTAAATTGGTAGCTGGTACAGCAAGGCTGAAGTGTATTAAAAATAGATTTTAGAAATTAATCTTTTACGCAAAAACATATTTGGTATAAGTAGACGTTGTCGAATTCATCTAAAGTGGCAACAAAAAATATGGGTACACTGTGACTGTGACCTGCAGGAAGCAGCCGAGTAGATTGGGGTGTCAAAATGTTAACTACGCATTCGCTTTTCTACTCCGACTTAGATTTCTACAGTGATGCTATGCTCTTGCAGCGCAAAGACCACCAAATATTTTCTAACATTCTCAAGGTTAGACTGCAAAATATTGGTTGGGACACTTACGGGACACTGCCTTGCGCCATCGCCGCTAAGTTAAGACTAGTGCAAAGAGTAAAGTGTAAAGTGACGAGGAAAAACGCTAAAGGCACACTTTGACATCTCAACTTCCATTGTCTGGCGTTTGGCATATCGCGCCTTCAGCCACCCTGGTACTGTGTACTTCTCCTCACTGCAAGATATTGCGAACCAAAACCAAAGAATTAGGAATTTGCTAAAGCTTGCAAAAAATTGCATTATGATTAATATTCCTCCTAATTCTGGTACAATTAGGGACCAGCAATTGGTTTATGCGAATTCTTATGATCGGCCAAGCTAACCTAATGTAAAATATATTTATCTTTAAAAGACAAACTACGCGGCCCTCCTATAATATTTAAAAACTCCCCTTTCTAAATTCTAGAGAAACTTGTTGTGTTAAACTTATGTATCAGCTGAATTAAATTAAGATTAGTTATGAAAAAATATGTAAGATCATATTAACCAATTTGACGAAGCAGATCAGAGACGGTCATTGACTTGCGGCTCATTTTAACATAATTTACTATTCTTTGCCAGCTTTTTTCTAATTCAAAAATATTATTGCATTTATTCTAAGTAAATTTGACTGAGGTTTGAAGTCTACAGATCACGCGAGTTTTTTTAGAATTTATAATATATGCAAATAAGTAGGTGAAACTACGCGTGATTCAACAATAACTGGTTGTATATGCAAAATTTATAGAAAAAAAAACTTTCTAGTAGATTAACTAAAAAGTTGTTATTAAGTGGTATCTATCAGTTTAAACGTGTATTGATTACTTCTACAATAAAGCAGCCACCGTTTCATTTGAAATAGAAGCGACGAGTTCAAAATGACTTGACAAAGGATCGAATGGTTAACTGTTACTAATTCCGCGAGGTAAACCGTTTCAACAAAAGGTTGAAGTTGATTCAGACTCTTCCTGATCTGTGTGCTGATGGCATTCAGTGCTGTGGTGGTACTGTACATTTCCCGCAATTTACGCTTCGTCAGGCTGGAGAGTAGAAGTACTTATATATGTAGGCTTCCTTTATCCACTTTACTAATATGTTCAGGCCGGTATTCATCGACCTTCCCTTGCAATAAGCATGTTGACCTCTCGAAAGACAGTCACGAGGAATCCCGTTTCTTATATGCAGGTTTATCAGTCTCTATAGGGTGTTTAGCAGACCGATAGACCTAAAACATGAGATGAACGCAACTCTGACCACCCTCCAAGCCTTGGGAATGCACCAGCCGGCCAATTTCTCGAAACCTCCAGAGCCTTTTTGCAGCTGCGCAGGTATGATGACATCTGTTCCCGGCGGCTTGAAGGGTTTGAGCGAAATTATCGTCCAGGCTATGTGACGATCGTTCAGGAGGTCGGAGAGCGACGTGCAACCCCCGTGCATTGCCCCAATGGTGATTTCTTCTAGGGAAGCATTGTAAGGTAATTCAGCATCAAGAAGAAGCTTTAACCACTCTTCGCTGCTCATTGTTCAATTTCCCGCCTCCTTCCTCAGGTTCCCTAAGGGAACATGATTCCTCGCGAGTATTTGTTTAAATCTGGATGATTCATGGCAGTTTTCTGCGCTTTTGCTGAGGATTTTCTATGAATTCCTCTTCACTGTTCTAATTTCGGACCTGTATATCCCCAGTCCGGCTCTATAAAGCCTCTATTCAGAAGACAAGCCACTTCTACGGGCCCTATCAAAAAGTTGTCTGCTCGATGACCTTAAATGGGAGAGCTCAGCCGTTCACTGGAGTGGTTTCCCTCTACCCTTTCGAAATCTCAGTAGGCACATGCTAAAAACTTCGACCAACTCTT